TTACAGGAATATCATGAAGGGATACAGCATCCAAACCCTGACCTTCCCTAGCTGCAGAAATAATCAAAAGTGTCAGGAAGTATGAGAAAAGAAATGCACCTCTTTCAAGGTTTGCACTGTTGTGGATACTGGCTCAGACAAAACATGGTAATGTTTTAAAAATAGAAGGATATTACATCAAAGATTTTCAACCTTTCTTCATGCAAAGCTCTTAATAACTGCAGAACATGTGTATTCCAAGAACTGTTTTTTTTTTTTTTTGAGAGTTTCTATTCAATCTAAAGACGGTTCAATTTTCATTCACAAATCCAGATGATTTGTGGTAGAGATCTAATCAAGTCATATGTATGTTTAATAGAAGCTTTTTTTCTTAGAAACTGTAGATTATGTCTTCTTGTTAGCAACTGGTGTTTTCTTGTGAACTGCTGAAAAAAAAAAGAACTGTTATTTCATAATTGTGGTTATGTTATTGCTTCAGCAGATACTCTCTGGATTCAGAGCTAGAGCAGTGAGTAAAGACTTTTAACTATGAACAAATGTTAAAGATTTTACTGAAAAAGGATTATAAGATCAACAATGTGCATAGAATACCTGTGTTTCCATATTGCAGTTAAAAACAACTTTGAATTGTTCTTCTCCACAAAGACATTGTAATTATGTTATCTAAGTTACATTTAAAAATTAGAAACACTACTTGGAGAATTAAAGCTGCTAATAATAAGATAAATTTTTTCCTTTAAGTTTGTAAATGAGTTATGGTAGTTTTTAAGTGTTAGTCTCACTTATATCTTACCTGTGAGATGGACACATGATGCATTGATATACTTGTGTTCAGCTGTTGAAGATTTCCTTCTGTCTAGCTAGCTCCAGATTAAAAGGAAGACTTCCAAAATATCCATCCCCTCAGGGTTTCATCAGCAGTTAACTACATCGTAGATTGATTCATATTTAAAATTATATAATAGTTTTAGTTATTAAAGTAGCTGTGGACATGAATACCCACATAAATATTTATTAAACATGAACTCTTCTTTGGTTGTGTCAAGTAATGTGTTGGAACTAGATTGCCTTGGTTGACTGGAAATGATAGTATTTATCTCTCTCAATTTGTTTTAAGTAAGGCCACAATTGTTAACATGGTATCATCCATATTGTTAGAATTTACACTATACAAATTGAAAAATGCTATAAATGAGGTGCTTTGTATTAGCTAATTGGTAAAGATGGTACCGTAAATGTTCATGCATCAACCCATGCTCTTGATGTTTTGCCAATTTTGTTTTCTGCAGTGGAAGTCCTGAAGAGGCTCAAAAAGACCTGAGCATCTGGGATGCATTTGATTATTGTCATGCATCATACCCTGCTCTGAGACGTTTTGTGGCCACTTAAGTGATACAGGACAGAACAAACTCTGTAAAACATTGGAATCACCTTTGGATGTAGTGGGTGTCTTCCTGTTGTGGAGTCTGATGATGAACCATGATTTCTCCATATGTACATAGCATTCCCCAGATGAAAACATCCACCAGGCCATTCTTCAGGAGTTTCTGCACACTACTGCTCATAGCAACTGCTGTCAGGTAAGCAGGCCTGGATTTGCTGTTGCACATCCCAACACCAACCCATTAGAAGATTCTCTTTGCTTTTTCCTTCCCTCCTCCATCTCATAAATTCAAACAGCCAAGAAAATAGAGATCACTGACAAAAAGTTTGTAATTTTGAATGATTTTTATTAAACACCATTAGTCTACACTGCACAGTTAATGAAACAGCAAAGCTCCAATCTCAGAAGAATGATTGACCATGGATCTGAAAAGCAGTTCAGTGTCCCCTAACCCAGTGTAAGTAAGCACGATGAATGATTCTTTAACATTTTATGTCAGAAGCAGGAAGGGGCATGAACTGCAGTCTGGCCTCCAAGGGCATCCCCACCCTCCACCCTCCACCCACACCCCCCTCTGCCCTCCCCACAATGCAATTTTCTTTTTGTTCAAAGATTACAGAGAAAATGTGATGCTCTTGTACAGAGGGCTTCTAGATTCGTGTGGAGGGGAATGGAAAGGGAACTAATACTTTCTCTTTTGCTGGAAATATCAAATGGTAGGATTAATGCCTAAGACTAGCCTATCTGATTAGTCCCTTGAGGGAGTAAATGATGATTATCAATACACAGATATCATTTCTGTCATTGGAGTTTGCTAACACCAAAGAGAACATGAATCAGAGTTTAAGTATGAGAATAAGGCTGTGCGAGTTGGAAACGAGAAACAACAATAGCAACAACAATAACAACGATGACAAAGAATTGAGTCCGCTGTTGTAACACAATACTGACAACTAGCTCAATATTTTTTCCCAACAGAACTGAATTTGGGGGCACTGAATCACCCATTTGTTTGAAAAGGTGTAGCTATTTCAACTTGCCACACATTTTTCTCAATGGGAGTAATGATGCTTCTTTAAGCAAGCACTTTGTTGCTTTACTGAGTAGTCCTACCCAGTGATCCAGTTTGGTTCTCCCACCTGCTACCTCATGCAGGTGACATTTGTTAAGTCTGTTAAGAAGGAAGTAAAGGCTTCACCCTCACATCTTAATCAAGTCTGCCTTCAAATATGATTTTCAACTTTAAACTCAACTTCAACCTCTGGGATCCAACTTTTAAGAAAACAAAATTCAATTTAGATAGCTTCAGGTACAGTAGAAATAAACTAGCATCTTTCCAATGCAAACCAAATCCAATGCCTTTAGGTATCCACCCACTTGGAAACTCAACAAAACACATTTTAGGCAATGACATCTAATTTTGCTACTTTTGACTGAAGATTTGTATTTTTCCATTTCATTACATGAAAGAAATAATAATAATAAAAAAAGACATCACAACCTTGTCTTTAAATAGCCACAGAAGCTAGTCTGTTTTTTCCAATTATGTAATCTGAATATAAAACTACTAGTTTTCCCCAATGAGATTATTAAGTAATTAACAGTTTATAGGCTGGCTAACAGCATGCTTACAGGTACATTCTACCCCAAGGATCACAAGGGTCACACTATTCAACTTTTTTCAAATTAATCCTACCTACAAAACTCAGACAGTAATATGACAAAAAACACTAAAAAATCCAAAGCTAATTAAAGATACATAGCCAAGCCCACATCATAACACAACTTGTCAGACTCTCTGTGGTTGGAGCTTGTGTGATAAATGAAGGCATAGTGCTGGCTGGCCCTGCCTTGGTCATGTTTTAGGGCTACGATTATTTCTTGTATTTGCTGGGGGTAGGGATGGGGAGGGGTTGGGTTGCCTATTACTCTGTCCATCACTACACTTTCAAGGCTTTTTTAGATGTGGCTCACCAAGCTTCTACTAATATCCAGAGGCACGATCTGTCACTGCCATCCATATATCTCATATCCCTCACTTAACTGGTACACTGAAGAGATTCCCTTGTCAAAATCCTCAATCTTTCAGTCCAGCAAATAGATGGACACACATGATGCACATCACTATTTGTAGTATGTTGACTAGAGTGCCTAGAAAACAGTACCAATTCTTAATAAGGAAGCCAAAGATACCTCATCTCTAAGGATAGGAAGGTAATTTACCCTCCATTTTTAATTGGTTTCTAGGTTATGTTACAGGTGAATTTATTTAATAATCAGGTGATGATCAAGAGCTGAACTGTCAAGTGTCATAATACTGCTGACATGGCACTTTATACTCAGTCACCAGAGATGACAGAGCATACTCTTGCCTCCCTGTTGTACATAGAAAAAAATGAGTTTCTGAAACTAGAACTATGTGGAAATATGCTTGTTTCTATGGGAAACTGCTCTACCACTCTAATGTCTAGTTTCTGGATTCTTAATTTCAAAAATAATCTATGTATAAATCTATGATGGCCTAGGTTTAATTTACAAATCAAGCCTGTAGGCATCATTATTATTAACCATACACAGGAAAGCTTCTTGGCAGACCATGGAAAACAGAGAACTTGAGTTACTTCAAAGTCATGAACTCATTTTTTTTTTTTTTCACATCATGCCCAGTTGGGGTGTTCTGCCTTTTGTGTTTTCATTTTCATCATTTAAGAGGAATGGGAAAATATTTAGATTTCATTTGAGTGTGTGCATATGCAAGTGCTGTTGTTGAAACTGTAGGCTTAAAGCTCAACCATATTGGGAGCCTAAAAAGTGTAGGCTTCAGCTGCTGGGGTATACCCATCAGCCATAGAAACAGCTTTTTAGCCACTGGAATGTCACTTCCATAATTTTATTATACAACAAGGGGCCTTAAACTCAAATATGATCAGAGCAGAACTCAAATCTGGCTTTTTTGCAACTGGGAAATACCTAACTTACAATGAGAGTACTGAGTGATTACCTGCCGTTCTTATTGCAGACCCGCATGACTTGCTGTAGAAAACATACAAGTTTGCATCTTTCATGTGCATATATGTTATTTATCTGGTTATAACTCAGTTAACAGAATTCAATGACTCAGTAGATTAAAGGTTACATGGAATCATTTGCCAACAGGCAATTACAAATAACTAATGAATGAACGCATAGTGTGCACTATAGCTGGAGAATTTTGCTGGTGACCTGGAACACTGAAGATGATATTTACAGTGTGATGTTTAGGGACATAAGGCTAATGTAGAAGATTGTAAGGAAAGATAGTCATAACTCATAAGGAAATGCTCCAAATTAGGTGAACTGGTACCAGACTTCAGGAATTTTTCCAAGAATCCTAGGGTAAAGTACTACCCAGTGCTTTCATTTTATGAAAAGAAAGGTTAATATTACTTACAGAGTTTAGTTTTATCTTTGGAATTTTCATGTAAATGACTTATACTAATATAAACGTTAAAAAAAATCAGTGATTGTATTTTAGTAAAGATCCCCTGAGAGAAATAATAAAAGAAAGCTGAAAGAAAAAAATCTTAGAAAACAGAAAATATGGATAATATTTGAAAAGTCCAGATAAGATAGTGAAGACACTAGGAAATGAATTATACATTATTAATTCTAGGACATGATAACTTCACTTTTGATTCCACAGATTTGATATGCAAATCAATCAAAATACTTGACATGATGGATTTGCCTACTGGCTGCAAATGAGGCAGAGGCATGGATTTTTATAGGAGGGTTTTCAGTTTGGTCTGATTTCTCATGTCTAAGATGAGTGTGATATTTTGCTGACTAAGATGTGCATCTAGCAAAACTTCTCCTTGTAAAGAAGAGCTTTGTACAAAGAGAATCCCAGGTGAGGGTGCCATAAAATTATCAAAATAAATGTTACTCTTCTTTCTCAAAACATATGGGAAAAAATAGGTAACCAAGAAGAAGATGTTAACAAAAGAGTCTTGTGGTGTATTCTTTCAAAAGTATAATTCTTATGCTTGTATTTTTCTTCCTACTCTTGACTCTATAATGTGGATAAAACATCAAATCTGTGGGTTTGAACAATGGAGACTCTCACCTGAAGATTTAGTCTGTAGGAACCACAGAAATTGCTTAACAATGGATTCTAAAATACCTTCTTTTCTGGATAGTATAGTTTGGGGAATGGCTACTGCTGAAGTCTTTGCAGGTCCCTTGTTCAGATGTATGTTAGACAGCTTCTTTGAATTCTCAGAGATGTGTCATCATCACATGTGCTTCTCATTCTTTGTTTTGAATCATGTGGACTTAAATCAATATTGTAGGGATTTTCATTCCATAAAGCACAAAAATAATGAGATATGAGAAATGCATATCAAATATTAAAAAATAAAACACACACTTCTCTCAAGTTGTAGTGTCCACTTACAATGACTTCAGTTTTTCACAGATATCAAAAATGCATAAAAACAAACATAATGAAAGAGAACTTTCAAAAATGAGTGGAGTTCCACCAGTGACTACCAAGGCACTGGTAAATGTAGAGGGATGGGCAGTGATGCTAGAAATGGGAGATCACTCACTACAACAAATGGGCATCTATGCGCAGCCAACAGAGTCCCTGTCGAACATAACGGACAAGATTGGTCATGCTGCTGTGCTGGGTCAGAGGCCCCATCAATGTATCCAGATCGCCAAAGAATTCTGAAAATAAGAGCAGTATTTGGTCAAATTTTATTTAACATCATGGAACTATATACCAGATTAAAAAGCTTTAGTCAATAGCAACCACAATAATGTGGACATTGAAGATTTACTCATTTGTTCATCTATCTGTCCTGGCTATCTACTCCTTTATTCAACCAAAATTTAAATGGCTGGTTAGGGAATCAATATTATCTATTTATCTATCTATGAAATTTATATGTACTTATATTACATATGTGCATATATATTAGTTTAAGTTTTCTGAACTCCAGAAGTTTAACAGCACAATGTTTGTGTTATTGTGCTTAGTGAAACGAAGCTCATTTAAATATGTTAAATCATGATAAGTATTGTTTTAGATGACTATTTCCTTTCTCAAACAGCATATTCTTAATGTACATTACTGTCCTATAGAAGTTTGTTACATTATCACATACACACACACACACACACACACACACACACACACATATGGCTACATATTTCTGAAAATTTATGAAACTATAATATTTATGTTGTTGCAATGCACATAAAATATATACATAAGTGTAATCAAATATCTTACATAACTTTATTTTTACAAGCATCATGATTCCTCTGATGTTACAATGTTTTTAATTTTATATGCTACTAAATTGAAAATATATTTTATTTTGGTACAAATGAACTTTTTTTCTGACTTTTACTGGGAGAATATAGAAAACTCCAGTGAACCTTAGCAGCAATTATGGCCATTGTCATTTAGAATTAAATAAATATCTTGAAGAAGCTGTGGTAGAAGTCTTGGTACTGATTTCATGAAGGTAGAAAATGACCCACAAGCATCCACCATGTGACTACTTCTACAACCCTCTTGGACATGATTACTTCTGGCTATGTTAGGAAATAAGATAGCCCTGAGCTACATTATTAATTAATCATCTGTGTGACTAGAGTATTAGAATGTTTGTCTTGAGGGAGGAGTATATGTGGGAAAACTCCCTAGGTATCCCTTTGTCTCACTTGACATGTCTGACACCTTGTCCCAAAAGGGCTCACTTGCATTTTTTTTCCTTGTTAGCTCCCCACAGGGAAGGCAGCCTCAGCCTTCTACAAGAAATCATGCCTGTGCTGGAATCCAAGTCCAGGGCAGAGGTAGGACTCGAGACTGTCCTAAAGTGGTTAAGATGTACTACCTCCTTGGAAAACAATTTATATGTGTGGATTACATGTACTTGATTGCTCAGCAGATGGTATTTCACTGTATAATGCATTTATTCTTTATGTTATATAACATATGGGGTTCTTCTCCAGGTATCAACTTCATTTGACTGTGTGATATTTTTTAACCTGGCAATGTAATAAAAGGAATTTTTGTGGACAAAGGAGTAAATTACTTCTGGCATCTAAAATATTTTCTTTGGTAATATAATACTAAGAAAAATGTTAAAGAACTAGTCATTGTTGAATGAATGTGAGCCATATGTAAACTAAGACATCCCTGAACATTCTGTGAAAATCTATCTTTGACATTTTAAATCAGACTGCCAGGTCACCGGCATTTTAATGACTACATCATCTGGTTAATATATTAAGCTCAGACAGGTAGACAATAGGACCTTCTGATCAAACGGCAAGGGGTAGCATTAGTCCATTTGCCTGTTTCAGCACCAGAACATTCTGTAATAAACTATCTGCAGCTACAAGAGTGGGAACACAGTGTCAGAGATGGAGGCTTTTTATCAAAAGAGCCACCAGTGTCCATCTGCATGGCACAATTTTCCCTGAGAAAGTCTAAGTACATAGTTATGTGAGTGGTATTTAAGATTTCTATACAAAGGGAAGCTCATAACTTATATCATTTATTTCTATCTACATGTGGTAGATATGAGAAAACTCAACAAATCCTAGCAAATCTTAAATGGCATGTGGGCAGAGGTAATGCTGATGAGCTCAAAATTTCAAATTATAGTCTCTTTCTAGGCCACTGAAAAGCTCAGTGGCAGCATTACCAGTATGTATTCTCTCCGTTGGTATAGTGACAATGTTGTTTTGATTCAGTATTAGACAAAGAATTTAACCACTCTTTGGTAGGCTGTACTAATGAAAAGATTAATTATTGTTTTGCCCTAGCATCATCACAGTCATCATGCTGCGTCTGGAAAGTTCTGCAGTTAATTTATAAGAAATTACTTGAACACATTTTGAAAGTGAATACAATTATACAAGAAATCCATATATACTGAACTTCCTTCCAGTTACCAATACAAAATAAGAGATATTAGAACCCAGTAAACCAGATATATGCAATAGAAATAATTTAGCCTCAGATACCCTCAGTGTCTTCATCTATAAAATAAGGACAAATGAGACAACAAACAGCAAATAGCATAGTACTTGGGATAAAGGAATCAGTGTACAAACAGATTTAACTATGTGTATACATTCACAGGAGTCTGTAGAAGTTGATAGCTGGGTATATAGTTGAGTCAATGTTTCAAATTTTAAAAATAAACTTTGGTAGACACAGAATTGTGTGTATCTGTTGTTTACACATGCATGTATGTTTGCACAGTTTATAGGGAGTACACATGAGTTTGTGTGTATGTGGAAGGCAGAGTTTGATATGTTAGTTATCTTCTGCTATAAATCACTTTCCTCTTAAATTTTAAAACTTTTATTCTGCTTGTGCATGCGTATGTGTGTGTGTGTGTGTGTGTGTGTGTGTGTGTGTGTGTGTTCTGAATCTTTTTCCTAATCTTTGGAAATTCATGTTACTGCTCAGGACCTAGCAAAACCCATGTTTTCCCCAAGCAATTCAGATTGCAGAGAAGACAGATTGCTCCCCATTACTGGTTACATTTCTATTACTCTAGCCTGTTTGTTACCTCTTTCAGATTTGATTCTAATAGACCCCCTTAAGTCCCTACCTTGTTTGCAACTGGCCATTCTATAATTAGTGTGCTGAAAGAGCCACAGCAAGTTAATGACTAGAGTAAAAGTGTGGTTTTGGTTTTACTCCCCAATAATATTAGGTTGGTGAGGCTTTATTTTTTAGTCTAAATGATGGCTGAGGTCACAGATAGCAGCACAAGTCATCAATGATCATTGACCCTGGTAAAGCAGGGTCTTCTTTGCATTTGTTTTGTAAAAAAAAAAAAAAAAAAAGAAATCGTATGTCTTCCCATAAATAGAACCTTGATCTTACTGTCAGGATATGAAGAAATCCTAGGTCAGATTTAGCTCTTGCTTGGGAATGCAAACTGTGTTGTCATATATTCATCTGTAGCTGATGAGTATAATGAAAATACATGACTTTAATTCTACCTCACATCTCAGAAAATGAACAGTAGCCAACAGGATGTTAATTAATTTTTAATCACTTTTTGCCCTTGCAACTATTTCTCTATATGATCCTCGTGGCTGGGTGGAATTCTGAAAATATGTATTGATACATTATGGATTAGAGTAGGTTAAGCATTAAAGGATAATAAATATTAGGCCTTGAATCACTTCAATAGTAAAAGTAGGTTACTGGGTCAGTCCTAAGATAACTTCCTCTCACCTAAGACATAGAAATCAGAAGAACTGAAGGCCAACAGACACAAGGGACCTAGTCCTTCAAAATACAAGTGACCAACTGAATCTTCATCCTTAAAGAGTAGAACAGATAATCATACCTTTATTGTCTCTTGTTAGTTTGTCAGCCATATCCCAGTGTTCATAGCCCCGAAGCACATTACTGGTAATATTGACATGGCTAGCAGCCATGTGGTGGATGCGCTGGGGAATGGTGACAGGGCCGTTGTTACAATTCCCCATTGCATTGATGGGAGAGACATTGTTGAGAGACACTGGGGATGGAGTATTCCTGGAGAACAGAAAGAGACAGTCCAAGTTAAGTAGGAAGGGGAGAGTAACAGCAGTAGTCTGGATGCATACTGTATGGGGGGTCCCTTGTTACAACGCAATTTCTTCAGAATACCACTAGCCAGAGCAAATTTGGTGTGATAAAGACACATGAAGCTTCAATTGAGTGCCCACATCTCACTGGCCCTTCTAAATCATTAGTTTTTGTCAACATCATAGCTTTATTCAGAAGCTCTAGTGTAGGAAAAATACATTGCCACTGAATGTCTGTATCATCTGACTAACCTATCCAGGGCTATACTGCTGCTCTTAGGATAATTCATCTTTGGTCATTTTCTAACATGAATCACTGAAGTTCTCAATGCCTCTAACAACTGGAGAGCCCTTGTGTACTTTGCTGTTTTTATTTTAAAACCAAAAATAGGGAGAGGAAGAGGAGATAGGTAAAGAAAAAGAGAGCTTTGGGTGAATCTTTCTTTGGCATGAATGCAACTTAGAAATGTAACTCTTACTTTGAATATATATGACATGTTATAATGTATCAGAGAAACAAATGGCTCAGAGATGTGATGTTTTCTCTGCTGTTGAAGAATGGTAACTGGCAGTTAAAACATATGATGTACAATATTGCTCTGTCTTCAAAGTGTTTTGTGGAAACCACAGTGACAGTTCATTACTAATACAGTTGCCACAATAAGCCAAGTGCAGTTTGTAAAAGCCCTTTAAGGTACAGCACTGGAGAAGCCAGAAAGAAAAGTATGACTTTGAATGTCTCTTCAGGATTTTGTAAGATATGTAGCAGAGATGGGCTGTTAATTGGTGACTCTTTACCTTCCTGGTGGATTATAAGGACTAGTCTTCTAAGTTCTTACATTTGACAGTTCTAGTGACTGGATAAATTTTCATTGAGTTCTTTAAAATCAGTAACAATGATTTACCAGTTGGCTCCTAATAGCATGGAGGTAAATTTTTTTTCAGGGCCTGAGCTTAGGATAGTCTGATGAAGATTTGCACAGAGATAGGCCTGCATGTATGATAAGTATCCTGTGCATGGCAGTAAGATCTACGCTGTCCTCATGGGAAGCCTATCCTCAGCCACACTTTGGGCAATTTCCTGAACAAATGTATTTACTTTGTATAGGACTAAGGGAGTAAATGAAATAGCCTTCCCTATATGTGGACACATTTGTATAGCTGCATATACTTGAGGGGCTGAGAGGTGAAGGTTGTTGAGGATAGGCATTTGAAAATAGTGTAGGCATCGAAGCAAACACGTAAACAACAGTTTATGTGAGATAGAACTATGTTTAAGAGTCTTTATGTTTGAAGGAAACTCTTCTCCATTACAGAGCATCAACTAAGGGCCCTATATCATGCTTCAAACCCTTATCAACTTCTATTATTGACACTTTGGATCTTCAAGATGATTGCATTACTTAGAGTCTTAACACACATTTGATTTGAGAAATAGATCACAAATGCCAAGATGCTGAAGTGCTACTGCCAAGCTCTGTGAATACTGAGGATGTAATTCCCTTCTACAAATATATATAGACTGTGCCCACAGTCATGAGAAAACTCAGATATTTCTGTTCTTTTTTCTTTCTTTCTTTCTTTCTTTCTTTCTTTCTTTCTTTCTTTCTTTCTTTCTTTCTTTCTTTCTTTCTTTCTGTTCTTTGTTTTGTTTTACAAGACAGGACTTCTCTGTGTAGCTTTGGCTGTCCTGGACTCATTTTGTGGAACATGCTGGTCTGTAACTCATGGAAATCTGCTTATCTCTGCCTCCCTGAGTACTGGGATTAAAGGCATGCACCACCATGCCCAGTTAAACTCAGGATTTTTGTCAATGGAGTCTATCTTATGGTGTGTTCTGGTTTTAGTAGGAAGGTAGATTTTTGTGTGTGTGTGTGGGGGGGGCTTTTGGTTTTTGGTTTTTCAAGACAAGGTTTCTCTGTCTAGCCTTGGCTGTCCTGGGCTCACTTTGTACACCAGGCTTGTCTTGATCTCACACAGACCTACCTGTCTGTCTCCCAAGTGCTGAGATTACATGTGTGTAGTATCTTGCCCAGCTGGTAGGAAGGTAGCTCTTTAAATCTGGTAGGTATTTGTGTAGTGTAAGAATATATGTTTTCCTACTCTATTTTTTTTTATTTCTGAGGTGTTTTCCTGCATATCAGTATTTAATTTCAAGGCAGGGATGGGATATGGGGATTCTTAAGTCTAAGTTACAAGTAGCAAAGAGAGATAGTAATGAAAAATAAATTCTTTTGTCGTTAAAGGTCACCTGTGCTCTTTTATAATCGTTCTCTTCAGTTATTGTAATTAACTCTTAAATGTTAGTTTATATCAGAAATACATACATTCTCATTTGTAATCTCTGGATAAAATGTCAAAGATGTCAGGAGACACATACTGAAAAAAGAACTGTACATGCTAGAATCGTAAGATGCTAGGATTCTAACTTTATCTTACCACAAAATTGCTATGAACCACCAAGCATGACCCTTCTTGATGAGCCTTACTTTCCTACACTGAAACATTAAATAAGGATTTAATGTTTTCTATAATATCTGCAAGTCAAAATGAAAAAAAGGAAACATGTTGCTGTGCTTCATATTTCTTGAACTCTGTTTTCCTTCACACATGGAAGCTAAAATAGATTGAGTTCATAGAAGCTAAAATCATGGTTAACACATGCTAGGATGGAGAAGACAGGATAATTGGAAAACTGGTCAAAAATCAAGTTATTTACACAGGAGGAATAAGTTGTAGTGTTCTACACACAGTAAGACAAGTATGATTTTATTAGAACTTACTACTTTTTATTTTTTAAGGAGAAGAATTCTAAGGTTGCCAGCAAACATAAGAAGTACATATTTAAAAACATAAAATTCTGATTAACCTTATGTGTGTGTGTTTCTGTCTCTGTGTGTGTGTGTGTTTTCCAAGACAGGGTTTATCTGTGTGTAGCCTTGGTTGTCCTGGAACTCACTCTGTAGACAGGCTGAAATCCACCTGCCTCTGTCTCCCAAGTGCAGGGATTAAAGGCATGTACCACACACCTGGCATGTTAAATATATTTGTATATTTGTATATAAGATTGTTCCTTTGTTCTCCCTTGACCTCATGGGGCACATACTTCTTTCCATTTCTCCTAGCTTGGAATTCTCATTTTCAGATATGACATGGCTTATTGGTGATTGTACCACTGTTTCTTCTCTTGCTTCAGTCAATTTTTAACATTTTTTTCTTGTTCTAGTTTCTTCCATTGATTACCCACAATCTTGACTTATGTAATAAAAACTTTCAAGTCACTGAGGGATGAAATTGAAGAAGAAATGAGAAGATAGAAAGATCTCCTATGCTCATGGACTGGTAGGATTGTGAAAATGGCCATGTTCCCAGAAGCAATTAACAGAACAGTGTAAACTCCATGAAAATTCCACCTCAACTGTTGATAGAAATTGAAAAATAACCTCAAATTTTATATAGAAACACACCACTACCACCACCACCACCACCACCACCACCACCACCACCACCACTATACCAAGATAACCCAAACAATCCTCAACAATAAAGGAGCTGATGGAGGTATCACTACTCAGGTTATACTACAGAGATATAGTGATGAAAACAACATGGTATTGGCATAACAACAGACATGTTGTTCAGTGTCAGAATTGTAGACCCAGATATAATCTATATACATACTTTGAATTTTGATAAAGAATCCAAACATACACACAGAAGAAAAGAGCATCTTTAACAAATGGTGATGAAAATATTTTCTGGGCCTTGAGACAGGAATATTCAAAATGACAGCCTAAGGATTGGGAAAGGATCTTCACCAACCCTATATCTGAAAGAGGGCTGATATCCAGAATATATAAAGAACTCAAGAAGTTAAACAGCAAAAAATCAAGTAATCCAATTAAAAAATGGGGAACAGAGTTAAACAGAGAATCCTCAATAGAGGAATATCGAATGGCAGAGAAACACTTAAAGAAATGCCCAACATCCTTAGTCATCAGGGAAATGCAAATCAAAACGAACTTGAGATTTCACCTTACACCCATCAGAATGGCTAAGATAAAAAACTCAAGTGAGAACACATACAAGAGAGGATGTGAAGAAAGGGTAACCTTCCTCCATTGATGGTGGGAATGTAAACTTGTACAACCACTTTAGAAATCAATTTGGCCCTTTCTCAGACAGTTGGGAATAGTGCTACCTCAAGATCCAGCTATGCCACTCCTAGGCATATATCTAAAAGATGGCCAAGTATACAACAAGGACATTTGTTCAACCATGTTCTTAGCAGCTTTATTTGTAATAGCCAGAATCTGGAAACAACCCAGATGCCCCTATCCCTCAGTTGAGGAATGGATACAGAAATTGTGATACATTTACATAATGGAATACTACTAAGCAATTAAAAACAAGGAAATCATGAATTTTGCAGGCAAATGGTGGGAACTAGAAAGGATCATCTTGAGTGAGCTATCTTAGAAGCAGCTAGACACATATATACTCACTATATGTGGATATTAAACATATAATATAATCACACTAAAATCTGTACAGCTAAAAAAAGCTAAGCAAATAGGAGGACCCTGGGTAAGATGCTCAATCTTCATTCAGAAAGGCAAATGGGATACATATCTGAAGAAGGTGAAAATAAGGAACAAGACAGGGGCCTACAACAGAGGGCCTCTGCAATGCTCTACCCAATAGGGTATTAAAGCAGATGCTGTGAATCATAGCCAAACTTGGGCAGAGTGCAGGGAATCTTATGAAAGAAGGGAGAGGTAGAAAGCCCTGGAAGGGTCAGGATCTCCACAAGGGGAACAACAGAACCAAAAGGTCTGGGCTTAGTGAGACTGATACTTCAACTAAGGACCATTCATGGAGATAACATAGAAACCCTGCACAGAGGTAGCCCATGGCAGCTCAGTCTCCAAATGGGTTGCCTATTCAGGGTAACAGGGGCTATCATTGACATGAACTCCATGGCTGACTCTTTGATCACCTCTCCCTGACAGGGGAGCAGCCTGACCAGGCCACAGAGGAGGAAGACTATGAAAGCCAGTCCTGATGAGACCTGATAAGCTAGAGTCAGATGGAAGGGAAGGAGGACCTCCACTATCAGTGAACTAGGAAAGGGGAGTGGGAGGAGATGAGGGAGTGAAGGAGGGCGGGATTGGGAGGGGAGTAGGATGAGGCTACAACTGGGATACAAAGTGAGTAAACTGTAATAATAAAAATTGTATTTAAAAAAATAAAAAATAAAAGCAAATATACAAACAAATTATAAATGTTGATGGTCAAACTGGAATGCTACATGTAGAAACTGAAATATAAATTTTTAATTATCTTTCTCTTACATCATGAACTTTGTCTTGTGGTATATCAAAACATTACCTGGAATATAATGTGTTCAAAGAATACCAATTCAATTTCTTTATTTAGTATACACTATAAAATGCTCCGCAATATAGAATGATAAAAATCTGCAATACGATAATTGGTATTTGCTGATAAAGGCACTGGCAAAGTGTTTGAAGTATTATAGGCATGTGTTGAGGTGAATGAAACAATGAATAGATGCTCATTTAAAAGAACACATAATGGAGCTAGGGAGATGCTCAGTGGATAAAATGTTTGCTCTATAAGCATAAGGAGCTTAGTACAGTTCCCAACACATAAAAACCAGGCATAATGGCTAGCACCTGTAATTTCAGTGCTAGAAAGTGATAATAAGTAGATTTCAGGGACTCATTTGCTAGCCAGTATACCCAATCAGTGAGCTCTAGATTCAGGGAGAGATTCTGTCTTTCAAAAATAAAATTTCAAGTGATTACAGGAAGATAACTGATATTGATCTCTGGCCTCCCCACATGTGTGTACATATATAAACACATTTAAATATACATGCACTACATGCATAAACACTGTTTACTCAGTGAGAAAACTCATCAAGTGTGAAAGGGAAATCCAGAATAAGAGCTGTAAGATTATGGGGAGCCAGAAGCAGAAAGACACATATGATATAGTCTCACTTATAAGTGGATGTTAGCCGTATAATATAGGATAAACATACTAAAATCTTTAGTCCTAAAGAAGCTCAACAACAAAGAAGACCCTAGGGAAGACGCTTAATCCTCATTCAGAAAGGCCAACAGGATAGATATCAGAAGTGGGAGAAGACAAAGGAACAGGAAAAGAGCCTTCCATAGAGGACCTCTGAAAGACTCTACCTATCAGGGTATCGAAGGAGATACTGAGACTCATAGCCAAACTTTGGGCAGAGTGCCGGAATCCTTATGGAAGAAGAGGGAGCTAGAAAGACCTGGAGGGGACAGGAGCTCCACAAGGAGAACAATAGAACGAAAATACCTGGGCACGGAGGGCCTGCAGAGACTGATATTCCAACTGAGGACCATGCATGGAGAGGATCTAGACCCCATGTTCAAAGGAAGCCCATTGGCTGTTCAGTTTCCAAGTGGGTTCCCTAGCAAAGGTTACAGGGGCTGTCTCTGACATGAACTAAGTAGCTGGCTCTTTGATTATCTATATCCGAGGGGTGCAGCCTTACCAGGCCACAGAGGAAGATGATGCAGCCAGCTTTGATGAGGCTTGATAAGCTGAAGTTATATAGAAGGGGAGAAGGGAGAGGGCATAGGGCGAGAAGAAGGAGGGTGGATAGGACTGGAAGGTGATGAGGGAGGGGGCTGCAGAGGGGCTATAAAGTGAATAAATTGTAATAAATAAATATTTAAATCAAATTAAAAAAGAAAAAAGATTATGGGGAGCAAGACTGGTTATGCTTTCCAACTTTAAGAAGTAACTATGTGAATGATGACTTTGACAGCAGCAATAGCCTCTGGATTGTTTTGTTTTGTTTTGTCTTTTGACCAGCTACCGTTCACTGAGCACTGATCTTAGGGATTCATCATTATTATCACTAGCCTCCTGCCAACTTTGGTAGATTGGAATCAAGATTTCATAGAAGCTAGCTTCTTTTTGAGGGCCCTGTTGCAAATTATCCAAATCATCAGGAGTTGAGGACAGACCTGCTTTCTTCCAAAGCCCTATCTGTACTTGCCTAAAGATTTCACCTGACATATGCTCACTTCTATTATCATCTTTGTATTCTTATTAGTTTATTTCTAGTGTTCTCCTGAGATTCAACGTACTATATATTTGGTAATACCACTATTGCCTTTCACAAGCTTGTGGGATGAGGGCATTTTATTTGATGGTCTTTCCAGTGACCTCCAGAGTCCTTGTGTTACTTGAACTGGCCAATGTCTCAAGCAAGTAGAAAACTTTTAACTCCTTCAATATAGTACCCACCATTTACATGTCTACTGAAGCAACACTTAAGGAGCCTTCAAACAAGTTCCTTATTTCAAATTCCAGGTGTTATCCTTGTCTTCTTTCTTGTTGTTATCACTCCATATCATTTGAGCTGGTTGTCCAGCTCTTTTAACCACTCTACATAATGAGTTCCAAATCTCTGTCATTGATTTGTAAATCTGGCCAAACTATTTCTATGTGGCCTGTGAATTTGTGGTAGTTGGAAAAGACAGCAGTTGTAAATGATTTGATGAAAGGAAACACTAATTTTGAAAAATTAATTAATATATATGAATATGCTAAAATCATATTGATAGAGTTGTAGTTCAAAACTTATACAAGTCTTATATTATTTTTAAAGTTTTATCAGGTAATTCATTGTGGAATTTTGTTTCCTGTCCTCATTTCTTCCACATAATTAACATGTTCATTTTTCTGAATCTGCAAAGCCCCAAATAGGTACTATCGAGCCCTTCATAGAAAATATACTTGCTTGTCTTTTCCCTATACCAAATATTTTTCTTCTTTTTTCTTCAACTAATTTTCTGGGCATTTTTCACAATATTGATGGAACATAGTTCCCACAAATCTATTCTCAGCTGTCTACTCACCTTTCCACATATTTTCCTGTCTCATCCAAGAATAATGTGGCCAGCACCACCTCTGGGCTGTTTACTTCTCAATCACTGGCCAGGTGAGGAGGCTCATAAGTCGGAATTACTGTCTCATGGAGGGAGCACACTGTGCTTACTAACTGGGAAGTTAGATAATCTAATATAGGCTTGAGATAAGAATCCTTGTCTGGCCAAGCCCAAACACCTAAATTATTGGTCTTCCACAAAACTTTTCTTTATACTTGTCACTTCCTTCCACTTCCCTCCTTCTGTGGTACAGAGAACATGTGGAATTCATCTCAATGATGCCATCTGTCATACAGGGCTCTTGTAGAGCAAATGGATCTGAAGTCATTGCTCCATAAATGTGATGCCATCCCTCCCTGTGTAATTAGTTGGGGTTTCCTCATTAAAAAGCATGACTGTCAACCAAAGGAAGTGCATTTTTGTTAGAATGAAGCTTCCTGAGAAGTCTTTTCATGTGATCTCACAAGCTTAGAATGAATTTTGAGTTTTTCCATTTCAAAATTATATAAATAAATAATTATATATAGTGATTCAATGCTAGTTGTTTACCTGATCTTGCCCTTACTTTATTCTGTGCTCAGAAAAAGTAGCTTTCTCTGGGTCTCTTGATGGTTGTTTTTTATTTTCTGAAGTTCCAGAGAGAGAAAGAGAAAGTCTTAACTTTTTGTTCTTCAGTGTACGCTGAAGTGGTGCTTCCTTTCAGCTCAGTAGTTGAGCTAATTTGTAGTGATTAATGGATCTGTTTCCTTGTTCTGAATGGTTTTATGATCTCAAAGTAGAGTTCACTGGCCCATTGCTTTTGGAGTACACTTTGTAGAATGATAATAAAGGCTCTTTTACTCATGAGGAAGATATTTTGATCAGAGATGCAACATTTTTGATAAGATAAAAACTGGATAAAGCAGTTATAACATGTTTATTTTGAATGTATTCACTGACATCTACTTTTATTTTTTTAATATAGGGAAACTATATTAATAGGAAATGGGCTAGGAAGGGATGGAATACTTTTGAAACCAGAGGTGACATGACTGTTTAGGAAAGTTAGCAAAGACACAGGATGGAGACAGGGGGATTCATAACTGCCCTTTGTAAGGATCATCTCCTCTGTGGGCTCCAGTTGGCATGAGACTGCCCCTTTCATTTGAAAGAAACAAGGGCAAATCTGAAAGGAGAGCAGTACAGCTAGCTTAATCAGTGAGATATGTGCAGTCTGATGTCTACAGCAAGTCTCCTTCAGAATCTCACTGTAATGTTGGGAAGTCAAGGGAGAGGGAACCTAACCAGTTAGGGCTCTAAATAAGGCTATAAGTCTGGGTACTTCCATGATGCTTTACATCAGCATCAGAGTACATACTTTTATATTTAGGTCAAGGTGTTTTAATATTTATATAAGAATCTCCATGAAGGTCCAGATAATTGGCTAAGTATCTTCACATATTCAGCTCTATTATGCCTTTAGTTTTATTAAACATAACTTACCATATACCATTGAATATTTTATTGATTTTTCATTACCAAGTGAATAACTGACAAATAATTACAGTGGATTTAACTTTATCCCACCTTCCAGGAATGGTATGTTGCTTGCCATCTCATTAGCAGACTTTTATGGCCATCACTTAGCTTATAGACCTTTGTGGAACAACATTATTTGAAACTTTTTTGTATCTCCATCAGCTGAAACCTGGCCAGAATTCTATGTGTACAAATAAGACTACAGTATTGAAATTGTCCTTTAGTCTTGAGCAATCAATGAAAAATATATGGGGGATGTATCCAATCATTCATTTTAATGAAAAAGCATTTTTTTGGCAGAATACTTACTTTGCATTGCCTACCCAAGGAGATGGTATCTGAGCAACTTTTGAAGCATTTTGCTGAAAGAGAGCAAGAAAGAGGGAAATAAGGACATGTATTCTATGTTTATTAATTCAGAGACAGATGTAAATGTGATTTAGAGTTCATTAATATTGATTGCAGCATTTTGGGATGCAGAACTTGGATGTATGTGCACATCAGCACACCACGACGCACACTCGATGAAAATAGCTGGTTAGGATAATTAGTGGGCTCCAATCAGGACCATGAAAGTCACTTGATGAAAGATCTTATATACTAAAGGGCCCAGTGAAATCAGACTCAGTTCTCCAAGAAGTGGTTTAATTATGCTCATCTGAAATTTATTCTGCAAAACAAGCCCTTCAAAGAACAAGTAAGTTTTTCACCTTTAACTTTAGTTGCAAACTTTTCCCATGGGATACAGGTTTAGCTATAAAGTCTGATGTCCCAGGAAGATGAAGGATCCATGCAAAACATTTTTTGTTTGCTTGTTTGTTCTCAGGAATCATTGTGATTTTTGGTCTTTACATGCAAATTTTCATGGCTGGCTTTTTTCTCTGTTTAGCAATGCAACTAGTTCAGGGCTGCATTGCAAAAGAAGTTGGAACTCTTTAAAGTACTGGCTTCCTGTTTTTTGTTTGTTTGTTTGCTTTTTTTTTTTCAGGCCACAGCCTTGTGCATGAAAGAAAAAGCTGATATTCAGCATACCATGACAGGACAAGACAAGCTCAGTGTGACCCCAGTCTGAGTCAGGTTAGGTAGTCTTCTCTACCCTCTGGCCTTCAGTCCAGCCCCATTTGCAAAAGGACAGTCAGCGTTTTCTAGAGTTAGGAAGAATTCAATGCTGTGTCAATGACATAATGTGCATTCTGAAGACTTGATTTAGTTTCACCTTAAATGAGTACAACACACTTGCAGGCAGATGGGTTACACAGTATCTGTTTGATGTTTTTCAATTCCCTGACAAGACACATTTAGAAAACAGATATTACAACAGTGGCTATCAGAGAGTTGACAAGGCCAGCAGCATGAGAATTAGTTGAAAACTTGTTAGAAATGCACATTCTCAGGCCCTAACTAAGGATACTTGTTGGAGGAATGGGATTCAACACTCTGGCTTTTTAGGCTCTCTAGGGATTTTAGAAGTTCAGTGAAATTCAGCATCTACCTTTCTACAGTCCACTGTGAGAAGGTAGACATGAAAGGACTGAGGAACCACTGTATGCCCACGTGAGCACTAGCTTTATGACATCTTTTCTATATTACATAGTAAATGGGCATCTTGCTCATGTTCCCAGATGAGTCACAGTGTCATCATGCAGGCATACACTAGTACTCACAGAATACTTGTTAAGGGTCAGAGGGTCATGATTCGATTTTCTTCAGACAACTGCTACATGCAATATGGCTAAGTGGTCTCATGTACTTGACAAAAAGTCATTTTCCACTAAGGTCAGGCCAAAAGAAAGTAACAGTGAAGCACCTCCGTTTAAGTTAAGGCCAGTGTTACTAGACAGAAGCCATATTAGAGCATAGAGTAGCCAAGCCTAACACTAGACTGTTGCTTGAATTTTTATGCTGATTCATTCCCAAATATTGTCATCATATTTTGTGGTTACCTCACTTGTTCATTTGCAAATTAAAACAAAACAAAACAAAAACAAATAGAAACAACAACCTCAGCTCTCTAGAGGATGACTTTGTCCACTTGTTTTTTTTTTTTTTTTTTTTTGGTAATCAGTGCAATCAAATGCCTTAAACTGAAACCACACACACACCAAGATTTCCCATGAGCAAAAGACTTTGAGGAACAGAAAGAGATGTCTACCTAGTGTCAATGTGGCAATGATGACTTCTATTACAGCTGAAGTATTTTTTGGCTGGCCTTTTCAAATGAGAGACTGGCCATACCCAAAGACACAACTTACTATCATCTTGTTGGCAGGCAGACTATACTTCCCTGATTGCAATAAAGAGGCTGTCACAGGCCATTTACACTACTTTAACTTCTCTCTTGGGAGTCAGAGGCTGTGTCCAGCTGAAGTAAAAGAGGTTATGCCTGTGGCAGTATCTATCTTCTCTTTGTAATCTGACATTTACTAACATGCCTGGCATGTTTCATTAGGGTTTTGATCATCGTCTATGTATAAATCATACAAAATAAGGATTACCTTAAAATACTCCATCAGTGATCTGGAGTATTTCATAGCATGGTCCTTCTTCAGTTTAAACATCCTCAAATAGAGAAGTGACAAGCATCGGTAGCTGGGTGAGGATAAAAGGATTAAGTTAGCAGTAGTGCCTCATGAAGACCATACACTGTTAAATACACAAATTCTTATTTTGTAGTCACTCATCTAATTGCAGATTGAGAAACATGTGTAAATAAAGACACTTCTAACAAATAAAGGCAGAATTATTAAAATCCCATTTTGATAACGGTATAAATTGCAGGGGGTAGTAGATTTTTAGTCTGTGACAAAAGAAATCCATTTGTTATCTTTTAACAGTTCACTAGAAAGCCAGAATAATGATCTAGGTTAAGCTGCTTAAGTTAATATGGAGTGTTCACATCCTACTGCAGTATTTCGGCAGTTTCCTCATGGTCGCAGTTTCCTCATGGTCTCCTTGTAACTCACCATAATACTGCTAGCTTTTTGTCCCCATCAGAAGCCAAGGGGCTTGCAAAGTTCTTCAGCCTCATTGCATACCTTTGAAGAAAAAAAAAAAAAAAAAGAAATACTTGTGTGGAATCTGGATTAACTTTCAAAGTTCTGGATTAACTTTCAAAGTTCTGACTTGCCAAATGACTTAGCCTCCCGTTCTTTTTTAAAAGGTATAGGCCAGAATGGTCCTTTCTTGAAATCATACACAAAAAGATGGTCCACACAACATAATGGGACATCAAGAACGGAACTGTGCAAAAGCCAGTTTAATTGTAGATTCATGTTTTAGAATAATGCTGTGGAATTTCCATGAGTTTCTGTCTATGTATAAATGCTGGTTGGCAAAATATTGTTTCTATGAGCTTGCTAGGTAAGAAATATTATTGATTTTATATGCAAGGTGGATAAATAGGTCAGTCTGAGTTCACTTTGTGACAAATGAGGTAATAATAAAGAACTAGGTCTGACATTGGCTTGGGAGATCTCAATCGGGTAAAAACTCTCATTTTTAATTATTTTAGTTATTATTATTATTTATTACTATTTATTTACTTTGTATCCTTGCTATAGCCTCCCCCTCTCAGTCCCACACTTCCTCCCTCTTCCCCTTACGCATTTCCTGCTGGTCCACTGATAGTGGAGGTCCTCCTCCCCTACTATCTGACCCTAACCTATCAAATTTCATCAGGACTGTCTGGATCTTCTTTCTCTGCGGCCTAGTAAGGCCACCTCACAGGGTTGGGAGGCAGAAATCAAAGACCTGATAAGGGAGATCATGTCAAAGACAACCCCTGATCCCCTTAGTAGAGAACTCCCATAGAGACAGAGTTCCCTATAGGCTACATCTGAGCAGGAAGTCTAAGTCCTCTCCCTGCATGGGCCTTGGATGAAACATCAGTCTCTGCAGTACTCCCTGAATCCAGATTTTTGGCTCTGCTGGTCTCCTTGTGGAGCTCCTGTCCACTCCAGTTATTTCAATCCCCCCTTCTTTTACATATGCTTCTCTGCACTCTGCCCAAAGTGTGGCTATGAGTCTCAGAATCTGCTTCAATACCCTGCTGGGTAGATTTTTTCAGAGGTCCTCTATGGTAAACTTCTGTCCTGTACCTTGTCTTCTCCCACTTCTGAAGTTCATCTCGTTTGCCCTTCTGAATATTAGTAATCTTCCCTATGGTCCTCCTTTTGTTTAGCTTCTTTGGGACTATAGATCTTAGTATATTTATGCTATATTATATGGCTAATATGCACTTATAAGTGAGTATATACCATGTGTGTCTTTTTACTTCTGGGTTACCTCACTCTGGATGATCTTTTCTAGTTCCATTGATTTGCCTGCAAATTTCATGATTTCCTTGTTTTTAATTGTTGAGTAGTAATCCATTGTATAAATGTACCACAATTTCTGTATCCATTCCTCAGGAGAAGGAAGGACATCTAGGTTGTTTCCAGATTCTGGCTATTGTAAATAAAGCTGCTAGGAACATAGTTGATCAAATATCCTTGTTGTATGGTTGAGCATTGTTTGGATATATGCCCAGGAGTAGTATAGATGGATCTTGAAGTAACACTATTTCTAATTTTCTAAGAAAGTGCCAGATTGATTTCCAAAGTTGTTGTACAACTTTACATTCCCATAAGCAGTGGAGGAGGGTTCCACTTTTTTTTACACCCTCTCCAGCATGTGTTGTCACTTGAGTTTTTTATTTTAGCCATTCTGAAGGGTGTTAAGATGTAATCTCAGGGTTGAAAAGACTTTTCAAAAGGCTCAAGTTTTGAATTTGTTCTTATAGAAACGTGCATACATGCATGTTTCACATGAGTGTGTCAGCATGTGCACTTGCCTATGTTAACAGAGGGCTGACATCACAGCATTTTTAAGTCTAAGCAACTTTACTTTATGGGGCGTGCATATTTTCCCTTCCCATTGTCTTCAAACATTACTGTTCCATGCTGCAGTAATAAAAGATCAAGTAGTCCTCTTTCTTTTTTTTCCCCTTCTAGTTGAGTGTTTCTCATTCTGAGCATTCAGAGTCTTGAGAAATAAATTCATTGCATAAAATCATTGTCTGAGATTTAATGCAATTTCATAGGTACTTATAGTTGAATAAGTAATCAAGTTTACTGTGGCAGAAAAAAAAATTGAAGAGCATGTGCAGGCTGTATTGATTATCTTTCATTTATGGAAGGTGGTGGTGAGCATATAGTGTCCTCTTGCTACTTAAAACAGCCTCTCCAGAGGACCAAGGGGCCTGTCTCATTCCCACTCAAGATTTTGTATTTTTTTCAGCATGCTATCTGCCCTGCTTTCAGGGTAACATCTCAATATGTTGAGTGAATGTTTTTAGCAATGGGAGTTACATACTTGATGTGGGTTGCTTTCTGTTTTTACAATATCTAGAAGTGAAATTTTTGTAATTTAATATATATAACTTTTTTTGACAGTTGTGTTTCTGTAGTGTCAAGTCATTGTGGTGCATTCTTATTTTCACAAATCCATTTCTATTGCAGATTCCCAGGGCTCTGAACAACTATAATTATTTGAAAGAAAAAACTGGACTCTCCCTCTATAACCAACATATTGTTGGGAAGAGAGTAATAAAAATCTCTTACACATAATAATGTACTATTAAAAACTATATTCATATTGCAGTCATCCCCTATTGCAACCACATTCAAAAGTGACTCAGTAGAGGATTTTAAATTGCTAAAATGGGCCTGCATATCTAGTCTAGTTTGTTTCATTTTATTCCCAATAGAAATTCTTCTCATTAAAAACAATATAAAGAACGCAGAAATGTGTTCTTGCAAAACAGGAAAAACTAAAATAAAACATACTTAATTATGCTAATGCCAGTGCCCTGGTTGTTATACTAAACTTCAACTATGAAGAAATTTGGTGAAGGGTACAAAGGAATTTTATTAGCTCCTGCAACTGTACCTGAATCTATAATTACAACAAAATCAAGTTTAGAATATTGACTTTAGAGAGAATTTCAAAAAAGTATTCATTGACTTTCACCAAATTTCCACTAAAATATATTTCAGTTAGTGCTAATATATCATCAAATGAAAAAGTATAGGTAGTGAAGACATATTATTTTATAAATAATTAAGGAAAATTTTTGAATGAAAATGTTTTATTTAGTGATTCACTTCATGATTTTACCACAAAATGAAAATTGGTGTTTAGTTTGTAAATTTTAGGATCCGTTATTCATATACATGATATGAATACACACATATACACACATATACATGAGAGTATATGTGTGCCATGTGTTTCACACATGGAACCCACAGAGGCTAGAAGAAAGCATTGAATTCCCTAGAAAATGTAGCTGCAAGCAACTGTGATTCTCTCTCTCTCCTGTGTGTGTGTGTGTGTGTGTGTGTGTGTGTGTGTGTGTGTGCTGGAAATAGAATGTGGTACCCTTAATTGTTGAATCATTTCTATAGCCCCTGCTTATGTACTTTTTGAAGAGCATGTGCTTTCCTTAAAAAGTAATAAGAAACAAAAATTTGTAGAGAAGGAAAACACTTGTAAGGTCATACTTCCGCAATTACAACTGTAATCTTCTTTGTTTCCATATTGATTTAGATATACATACAAGTTTTTATATTATAATTTGTATATAATTCCGCAGCATGGTTTATGTTTCTGAAGTACTAGAAATCAAATCCAGGGCCTCCCACATAAGAGGCAAGCATCTACCACTTGGTATGCCCCAGTCCTTAATTTTACATTAATATAATTTTACATTTTTCATGTGACAGTTTAGACTTCAATATTTTTATGTGATAATGCCTACAAACTACTTTTGAGTGTTTTATGATATAATAAATTCCTCATCTATTATTATTTGTATTACTTCTTATTGAATGTTGTAATATATATTTATAATATAGCATATATCTGTTGTTCCCATATAGTCATGTTTTTATCTTTTCCTTTCTTTTGCCATCACAACTTCCATATCAATATTAAATGAACAGAATCTCAATAGTTCTTTTAACTTTTCTTGAGTTGCCTCCTTGCCTCATTTTAAAGGTATGCAGTATTTTGGAAAAGGTTGTTTGTTTGTTTGTTTTGTTCAAAAAAGGAAAAGTACAATAATTCTGCATTGTGAAAAATATTCGAGAAATTAAAATTTTCAAAAGTTGAACTCTAGTGTCAGGAAATATAAATTCTTGTTTATGTAAATTTTTATATAATGCCAAATTGCTCACAAATTTCAATGATGAATTTCTACTCTCATCATCAGTACAGTAGGATACAATATGATTTTATCTTTTTAATGATACATATTAACACTGTAATATTTTCTTGATAGTTAAGCATAATTTATCTATATTTGCAAAGTTAAGTGATTCAAGGAACAAAATTGTTCAATATTCATTCACTTTCCCCATAAAATTTGTAATATATTTTTCCCAGAATGCTTATCTTATATAACTTCAAAACATACAGGTGTTCTGCTAGACACTAAGAAGTTAATTTTCCCCTGAATGCTCCCAAAAGGCTGTGGTAGTGATGGTTTACACAGTGAGTAAAATCAGCTTAAGATAAATATATTTTTTTCCATTCTCAGGTTTTGGAATAGCTCCAGAAATACATGGTTGATTGGCCGAATGGGCAAGGCTGTATCTTTCCTTAGAATTACCCTTTGTTTATTACTCTAAAATTTATGAAAATAATATATGAAAATGAAGTTGTCTAAAGGGGGAGTAATGAAAACAAGAGAAGGTAAGGGGGAAGACATGATGTACAGAAACTAGATTCATTAAAAATATTTGTTTTTTGTAAATTTTTTATTTAACTTTTATTAATTACACTTTATTCATTTTGTATCTCCCCATAAGCCCCTCCCTCCTCCCCTCCCTGTCCCACACTCCCCCCCTTTCTGCATGCATGCCCCTCCCCAAGTCCACTGATAGGGGAGGTCCTCCTCTCTTTCTTTCTGATCTTAGTTTATCAGTTCTCATCAGAAGTGTCTGCATTGTCAGGGTTCTAGGTTATCTCCAAAATATTTGTTTTGTTTATATGA